TATTACTATATATATTATAAATAGTATAAAAAGACGATACCACCTTGGGGGTGGTCAGAGTGCCTGTGGCTGCCCTGCTGAGCAAATCTTGGCTGGGCAGAAAGAAAATTTTACAGATAAGAATTAATAAAAATGAAATTTTATGGATAAGAATTAATAAACAACCTCAAGACCGAAAATGAAGAGTCCAGCCTCTCCTCTCTCGAAGCAGAGACACCCTGCACATCTGGGGGCAGCAATTAACAACCAAAACCCGAGGGCTGGGAGGGTCAGCCACAGGTTTTGAATGCCCAGGAGATTTTGGGGTGAATTAACCCCATGCTGGCTCCCCATGGCGCAGCAGCCACCCCAGCACGTCCCTGCTCCCCCACGGGGCCCTGGCTTTAATCCCCTGATGCATTTTTGTTTGTGTAATTCCAAGGAGAGTGGCTCCTGCTCCCATCTGCCCCTGCCATCTGCTGCCCAGGGCTCTGCGGAGGAGGGAGCTGCTCCTGGAGCCCAGCTGGGCACGGCAGCTCCTCATGGGCAGCATCTGTGCCCGCTGCAGCCCTTTCCCTGGCTCCCAAAGCCACTTTGCTCCTTGCTGGGCTCACTGGGGATGCTCTGCTGCCCTCACCCGAGGCCTGGGGACAGCCAGCACAAAATGTCTCCTTTCTAGTCCCAAAATGTTCCTTTCTAGTCTCAAAAAAACTGGCCTGGCACCTTCTGGGGCCAGTGGAGACAGCGTGTCCCAGTGCTCCAAGTGCTCCAAGCGTTCCTAAAGCTCCCAGTGCCCAAAGACTTTCCAGTGCTCCCAGTGCCCTCCCAGTGCTCCCAGTGTTCTCAGTCCCCCAAGATTTCTCAATGTTCCCAATGCCCAAAGACCTCCCAGTGCTTCCAGTGCTCCTTCCCAGTGTTCCCAGTGCTCTGAGCCTTCCCAATCCCCAAAACTTTCCAGTTCTCCCAGTGCTCCCAGTGCCCAAAAACCTCCCAATATTCCCAGTGTTCCCAGTGCTCCCAGTGCCTGAAAACCTCCTGGTGTTCCCAATGCTCCCAGTGCCCAAAAACCACCCAGTGTTCCCAGTGCCTGAAAACCTCCCAGTGTTCCCAATATTCCCAGTGCTCTGAGCCTTCCCAGTCCCCAAGACCTTCCAGTTCTCCCAGTGCTCCCAGTGCCCCAAAACCTCCCAGTGTTCCCAGCGTTCCCAGTATTCCCAGTGTTCCCAGTGCTCCCAGTTTTTCCGGTGTTCCCAATGCTCCCAAGTGCCCAAAAACTGGCCAGTGCTCCCGGTATTCCCAGTATTCCCAGGGCTCCCAGTGCCTGAAAACTGCCCAGTATTCCCAGTGCTCCCAGTGCCCAAAATCCTCCCAGTGTTCCCACTGTTCCCAGTGCCTGAAAACCATCCAGTATTCCCAGTATTCCCAGTATTCCCAGTGATGCTGCCGGTGGTGCCCCCGGTACCGGTGGTGCCCCTCCGTCCCCCGGCGCTGCGGCGGGCGCTCCCGGGCTGCGGTGGCGGCGGCGACGGCGGCCGTGTCCGGGCAGGTAGGAGGAGGTGGCGGGGACGAGGGGACCGGGAGGGGACACGCACACACAGGAACGGGGGGCACCGAGGAACCGCAGAGCCCCGGGCACCGGCACCGACCCAGCCCCGGGCACCGGCACCCCTCCGGGGGTGTCCAGTTTGGGGAGGGGTCCCTGCAGAGCCCTCTCGGGGTGCTGAGCCCCCCATGGGTTCCCTCCCGGGCTGTGGGGAGGGGTCGCAGACCCCGGGTATTGCGGGTGGGGGCAAAACCGGGGACCCCTGAGTGGGGTGGGACAGGCAGATCCTTCCTGGGGTGCTGGAGCGGGGCTGAGGTCGTGATGGGGGTGATGGAGAGACCCTGTGGGGTCCCCGCAATTGGGGGGTCCTGGCTGCTCCTCCTGGGGGTCCCGTTTTCCCTGAGATCCGAAGGAATTTTGGGGGTTTGGGGGTGCTGGGGTCTCTCCCTGCTCTGGGTAAGGCAGCTCCAGGCACTGAAGCCCCCGGGGCACCCCAGGATGGTGGCAGCGGGTCAAGGTCACCGCAGAGTCCCCATGGTGGGTGTTGGACACCCTCCCTGTGAGCTGAACCCGCTGGGGACACCCCGGGGCAGGGACAGAGCCCCGAGCAGGTCCCTGCCGCCCCCAGCCCTTCCCGGGGCTCCGGAGCCATCAAATATTAACGGGGAGAGCGGAGGAGCTGAAAATAACCCAGCTCCAGGGGATCTGACCCAGATCCGGCCATCCCAAAGCTGGGCCGGACCCAGAACCGCCGGCACGGCTCTGTCCCCTCCTCGGGGCCGCCTGATCCCACCTAAATATCACCTATCTATTATGCAAATGAGCTCTGAGGGATAATTACGCAAACGGGAGGGGGCTGGCGCTGCCTGGAGCTCCCCGAGCGCTCAGAGCGGCCGGCGGGGATGGAGGGAGCAGCATCGGCGCCTGGCTGGCTGTGCGGGGGCTGCCAGCGAGCTCTGCCCCGTCCCTGTCCCCTCCTGTAGCGCACAGGGACCCCCCGAGCCCGGCCAGACCCTTTGTCCCCCCAATTCTCGTGTCCCCAACCCCGTGCCCAGCGCGATGGGGAAGCAGAACAGCAAACTCCGCCCGGAGATGCTCCAGGACCTGCGGGAAAACACGGAGTTCTCCGACCTGGAGCTGCAGGGCTGGTACAAGGGGTTCCTGAAGGACTGTCCCTCGGGCATGCTGGACGTGGAGGAGTTCAAGAAGATCTACGCCAACTTCTTCCCCTACGGCGACGCCTCCAAGTTCGCCGAGCACGTTTTCCGCACCTTCGACACCAACGGCGACGGCACCATCGACTTCAGGGAGTTCATCATCGCCCTGAGCGTCACCTCCCGCGGCAAGCTCGAGCAGAAGCTCATGTGGGCCTTCAGCATGTACGACCTGGATGGCAACGGCTACATCAGCCGGGAGGAGATGCTGGAGATCGTGCAGGTACCGACCGGGCTGCCCCGTGCAGCTGTCCCACCCCACCCGGTGTGTGCTCCGGGTGTCGCCTCCTGGGATGAGGTTGGGTTGGGGATTTCACCCCCTGGAACCCCCAGAACAGGGTTTTGCTGGAGCAGGGATGAAGCTGTCGATGCTTGGCAGCTGTGGGTGCAGGGGTTGTTTTATTCTGGAGCATCCCGAGCCCTTCCCTGCATGGGGATGTTCCTTTGTCACCGCATCTCGGGACTCCCCTGTGCTTCCAGGGCGGGTTGTTGTCCCCCTTTGTGTCACCTCATCCCAGGACTCTCCCGTGATTGTGTTTCCAGCGTGGGTTGCTGTCCCCCAGGACACCTGGTGGTGTTGGCAAATGGGCAGGAGATGCTCTCCTTGCCCTGATCCCAACCTGGTGATTCTCAGGAGCATCCCAGTGGCCAAATCCTCCCTGCAGGAGCAGCTCCTGGGAGCTGAAGCCCTCACAGCCCAGTCCCATGGGAAGGGTGACAAACACCAAGCCCCATTGCCAGGAAAACAAAGCCCAGGGGTCATTTTATACTGGAGCATTCCCGAGTCATTCCCTGCATGGGGATGTCCCTTTGTCATCTCATCCCGAGGCTCTCCTGTGCTCCTAGGGCGGGCAGTTGTCCCCCTTTGTGTCACCTCATCCCCCGTGATTGTGATTCCAGGGTGGGTTGCTGTCCCCCAGCACACCTGGTGGTGTTGGCAGATGGGCAGGAGATGCTCTCCTTGCCCAAATCCCAACCTGGTGATCCTCTGGGGTGTCCCAGTGGCCAAATCCTCCCTGCAGGAGCAGCTCCTGGCAGCTGAAGCCCCGATCCCACGGCAAGGGTGACAAACACCAGCCCCATTGCCAGGAGAACAAAGCCCAGAGCTCTGTCCCTGTCCCAGGTGGGCAATGCCAGGAGCCCACCCTGACCCCCTGTCCTTCCCCCCAGGCCATCTACAAAATGGTCTCCTCTGTCATGAACATGCCTGAAGACGAATCCACGCCGGAGAAGAGGACGGACAAAATCTTCCGACAGATGGACACTAATAACGACGGTAAATGAGAGGAGCTGCAGGGGATTAGGGAGAGGTCTCATGGCTAAATCCAGGGTATCAGGAGGAGCTGATTAAATGGCTCATGTCCGAGGGGCTCAGGGTGCTGGGTGCTCCCCCCCCGGGGTGGGGAGGGGTCCGTGGGCTGCTCTGGGTGGTCTCTGGTGGTCGCTGGGAGGTGCCTGAGCTGTGTCCCCTTCCCCACAGGGAAGCTGTCGCTGGAGGAGTTCATCAGAGGGGCCAAGAGTGACCCGTCCATCGTGCGCCTGCTGCAGTGTGACCCCAGCGGGGCCATGCAGTTCTGAGCCCCCCGGATTCCCCCCTGGCACCCCCCACCCTGCTGATGGTCACTGTCCCTCGCCCAGCCCCTGCTGTCCCCGCTGCGCCCCCACAGCCCCTGTGGGATGGGAGATGGAGCCTGGACGGTATTGGGGAGGGGGACGGTATTGGAGTGAGACCCCCCCCATGCAAGGGGGTCCTGCACTGGTTTTACTGGTGGGAGGTGAAGGCAGGGAGTGCCCTGAGTGAGGACAGACCCCCTGAGTGAGGGCAGACCCCCAGAACCGGGGCTGGGAGCAGGGACAGCCCAGCCTGGCGGGACAATGTGGGGACACAGCCCAGGGGACAAAGCCCCGTGGTTGGGGGGTCCCCAGCACCCAGCCCCACGTGGCGACACCCCCATGGGCAGGGCTGGGTCAGCCCCTTCCCCACAGGGTGGGCTGCAGGGGATGGGGCTGTGCTTCTGGGCTTTAATTCCTGCAGAATAAAGTTTGTGTCAGCGCAGTCCGTGCTGGGAAAGGGGACACGGGGCCCCTGGGGACAGTTCCTCCCTGCAGGGTGTGGATCCAGCCCGGTTCCATCCCTCGCTGCAGCCCCAGGATGGGCTCCTGTTCCGGGGGATGTGCCCACACATCCTGGAGGCAGCTGGGGCTGTGCTGGTGCTGGAACGGGGCAGGAACGGCCAGGACACATCCACAGGGTCATTCACCCCTCAGAGCCGGGCAGTTTCTCCACTGTCCAGTCTCAGCAAGGCCAGGCACTGCCCAGGGCCGGGGCTTTCCACAGGAGCTTCCTGCAGAGAGACCTGGAAGCCAGAGAGAAGGATGAGAGTGGGAGCAGAGGGATGGAAACCTCGGACCCACAGATCACCCATGGGCACAGCCAGGTCTGCCCCAGCCCTGCAGGGAAGGGTTAGAGCTGAGCCCATGGATCAGAAATCACCTCCAGCCCTGCAGAGGAGGGGTTAGAGCTGAGCCCAAAAATCAGAAATCACCTCCAGCCCTACAGAGGAGGGGTTAGAGCTGAGCCCGTGAATCAGAAATCACCTCCAGCCCTACAGAGGAGGGGATGGGGCAGAGCCCGTGAATCAGAAATCACCTCCAGCCCTACAGAGGAGGGGATGGGGCAGAGCCCGTGAATCAGAAATCACCTGCATCCGGAGCATCCCGCGGCAGCAGCAGCAGCAGCCCAGGCCCAGGAGCTCCAGGGTGAGCAGGAGGCAGCGGGTGCTGAAGAAGATCCCCGTGGCCTCCAACAGGAGGGAGATGACCCAGAGGGACAGCGTGGAGCTCTGGGGGACAGGAGGAGCATCAGCCCCTGCGCATCCTCCCCAGCCCGGCACATCCCCAGCCCCGGGGCACTCACGTAGACGCGGGTGGGGTCGAAGGGGCACTGGCGGCTCCCCGGGGCCAGGGTGGAGCTGCCGGCGGAGCAGGGGCCCAGCAGCAGCCGGCCCTGCGTGCCCAGGGTCAGCCCGATGGCCGCGAGCAGCGCCAGCAGGCAGCACAGGCAGCACAGGCTGCTGCAGGAGCTCAGGGCCAGCAGGGCCCATTTCTGCACGGGGAGAGGAGAGGCAGTGTGCGGATGTGCCTGCTCAGGATGGACCCACAGAGGGGCTCTGGGGGCTGTGCAGCCTCTCTGGGCGATGGGAGAGGGGCTGGGGGTGCTTACCAGGGCAGCAGGGCCGAGGTACCGGGAGAGCAGCAGGGCACAGACCCCACAGGAGATGGTCTGCGGGGAAAAACAAGGGGGTCAGAGAGGAGCAGCCCCTGGGACACCGGGATCCTCTCCCTGCTGGGAATGTCCCTGGGAGCTCATCCAGGGGCAGAGATTCACCTCACACAGCCTCATCCAGCAATGAGCCCCGGTTGAACTCCCCATGAAAGGAGGGTTGAATTCTTCAAGAAAAGAGGGCTGAACTCCCCAGGAAAGGAGCATTGGATTCCCCAGGAAAGGAGGGTTGGGTTCCCCAGGAAAGGAGAGTTGAATTCCACAGGAAAGGTTTGTTGAATTCTCCAGGAAAGGAGGGTTGGATTCCCCAAGAAAGGAGCGTTGAATTTCCCAAGAAAGGAGGATTGAATTCCCCAGGATAGGAGCGTTGAACTCCCCAGGAAAGGTTTGTTGAATTCCCCAAGAAAAGGGAGAGTTGAATCCCTGAATCCCCCAGGAAGGGAGAGTTGAATTTCCCAAAAACAGGAGCATTGGATTCCCCAGGAAAGGAGCATTGAACTCCCCATGAAATGAATGTTGAACTCCCCAGGAAAGGAGTGTTGAGCCCCCAGGAAAGGAAGGTTGGATTTCCCAAAAAAAGGAGTGCTGGATTCCCCAGGAAAGGAGCGTTGAACTCCGCAGGAAAGAGTATTAAATTTCCCAAAAAAAGAAGGGTTGAACGCCCCAAGAAAGAAGTGTTGAACCCCCCAGGAAAGGTTTGTTTCAGGCGGGGAAGGGGAGACAGAGCAGCGTCCACCCTTCATCCCACCTCCCCACCCTGCATCCCTCCCCCATCCCGACCCCTCCCCACGTCCCCCCGTGTCCCCAGCCCCGTTTTGGGGGGTACCAGCAGGGCAGCGATGACAGCGGCGCCGTTGGTGACACCGTAGTGCAGGGCGGCGGCGTCGCGGGCGCCGAGCACGAAGCGCAGCCCGGAGCCGTGCACCAGCGCCCCGCTGATGAAGATGAGGTGCCCGACGATGAGGAGGATGAGCCCCGTCTTCATCAGCACCGCTCGGTGCCTGCTGGGGTCCGGGTGGCCTGAGACAAAGGATGAGGAGGGTGTGGGGTGGCCAGCACCGAGGTGTCCCTACACAGGAATTTGGGGACAGCCCCAGAGGATGTGGCCGCGCTGGCAGGGGGATGAGGTGATGTGGAAGCCACCACTGGTCCAGCCAGCTCTCCTGGGACTGGAGCAAAGGTGTGGGGCCGGTGGCCATGGGGACAGGCTCCCTGTGGGGCTGGGAAGATGAGGAAGCTCTGGGAGAGCAGCTGGCCCCAAATGGCAGCTCCAGGGCTGGGTCTGGCAGGCAGCGCTTGGAGGAGTGAGCGTGGGGTTGTTCCCCCTCTGGGACCCCCGTCACCCAGCCATCACCATCCTCACCCAGCCATCACCATCCTCACCCAGCCATCACCACCCTCACCCAGCCGTCACCATCCTTACACAGCCATCACCATCCTCACCCAGCCATCACCATCCTTACACAGCCATCACCATCCTCACCCAGCCATCACCATCCTTACACAGCCATCACCACCCTCACCCAGCCATCACCATCCTTACACAGCCATCACCATCCTCACCCAGCCATCACCACCCTCACCCAGCCATCACCACGCTCACCCAGCCATCACCATCCTTACCCAGCCATCACCACCCTCACCCAGCCATCACCATCCTCACCCAGCCATCACCACCCTCACCCAGCCATCACCATCCTCACCCAGCCATCACCATCCTCACCCAGCCATCACCATCCTTACACAGCCATCACCACCCTCACCCAGCCATCACCATCCTTACACAGCCATCACCATCCTCACCCAGCCATCACCATCCTTACACAGCCATCACCATCCTCACCCAGCCATCACCATCCTTACACAGCCATCACCATCCTCACCCAGCCATCACCATCCTCACCCAGCCATCACCACTCTCACCCAGCCATCACCATCCTCACCCAGCCATCACCACTCTCACCCAGCCATCACCATCCTTACACAGCCATCACCACCCTCACCCAGCCATCACCACTCTCACCCAGCCATCACCACCCTCACCCAGCCATCACCATCCTCACCCAGCCATCACCACCACCAGGGCTCAGCCCAGCTCCTCTCCTGACCGATCTGAGCCCCTCAGCTCCTCTCCCTGCCTCCGTGCCTCAGTTTCCCCTGCAGAGGGCAGGGATGGGGCTGCTCCCCATCTGGAACCCCCCTCACCCAGCCACCACCACCCTCACCCAGCCATCACCACCAGGGCTCAGCCCAGCTCCTTCCCTCACCCCATCCAAGCCCCTCAGCCCCTCTCCCTCCCTCCGTGCCTCAGTTTCCCCTGCAGAGGGCAGGGATGGAGCCCTCCCGTTGTGATCCGGACTCACCCACTCGGCACATCCTCACCGGGCCGGGATCAGCCCCTCAGAGCCCCTCGGATCCATCGGGTCTGGCACGGGGCAGGCCCGGGACACCGGGGCCACCCGGAGCCACCCTGCTGCTGCTGCTGCAGTTCCTGTCAGACCAGCTCCCCGGGACAAAGGGATAACTCCACCTTTTCCTGAGTGTCCCACCCCTGCCCTCCCCTTGCTGCCGAGCCAGCAGCCGTGCCGTGACATGCCGTGCCATGCCGTGCCGTGCCGTGCCATTTCACCATTCCACGCTTCCTCGCCATTTCACCATTCCACGCTTCCTCACTCCCTCCCCATCCATCCCCATGCCCCCAGCAGCCCCCAAAGCCACGGATCCGGCCAGGAGCCACGGGCTGAGGGTCTGGGAAGGGGCAGCCCTGGGGTGGGACAGTGCCAGGCCACAGGGCAGCAGTGCCAGCACTGCCCTGCAGGGCCAGGGCAAAGCAGAGGGGTCAGGGCAGGAGGTGACTTGGCCAAAGGTGACTCAGGAGATGCTTCGGTGGCCCTCAGGGAGCTTCCAGGGAAATTCCAGGCACTGGGATGGGGACAGGGCCTTGCTGGGGTGGCTGTGGGAGGGCCCACAGGGTCCAACAATTTAATTCCAGGCACAAATCTGGTTCCTGGGACTGCTCTGGGGAAGGGCATTGTCCCCAGTGTCCCACCTGGCCACTGCTCTCAGCATCCTCAGCTCCACAAGTGCTGGAAATTTGCCTTTTTTCCCCGTTCTTCCCCTCCTTTCACCTGTACCCAGCCCTGCTGCACAGGGAGAGGGGGAAGAGAGACCTCTCCTCTTCCCAAGCCTTTGGGAACAGCATTCACGTGGGCAAAGGCAGCTGGAAGATTTCCCTTTGGAAAGGACGAGCTGGACTCAGGCCCAATGACAACCAGAGTCTTTATTCCAAGAGTCCCTTAGGATGGTTGCAGACATACAGACACACGTACATATTTACACTCTTACACACCTCACAGAGTTTGAACCAATAAATTAAAACAAAAAGAGGGCGAGGGGGGATTTCCTTTTTTTTTTTTTCCTTTCCTTTTTTTTTTTTTTTTTTTTTTTTTTTTTTGTTGGGTTTTTTTTTCCGTAAGAAACAACTCCCCAGGGCGAGGCTGGGGGAGCCAGCTGGAGGATGGCAAACAGAAGCCAACACAGAGGGACACAACCCTGGCCCAGAAGCTGCAGGGAACGTGCTCAGCTCACACTCTGGCCTCGATGCATTCCAGCTGGACCATCTCATCCAGCCTGCAGCCCTCGGCTTGGGCACAGTGGCTCAGGTGGGCACTTGGGCTCTGGGCACCTCTTGCTCGGGGGGTCTGGGGGCAGCCTGCTGCAGTCTGGCACTGGGGGGACTCGCACTCGTCCGAGGTGAGGTCGGGCACGTCGTCAGACTGGCTGTCCGAGCTCTCCAGGTCGCTGCGGATGCTCTCGGGCTGGGCCAGGGTGATGTCCCACGTCTGGCTGCCAATGCAGTCCTGCTGCTCACAGCTTTGGTGTTGGCACGTCTGCTCCTGCTTGTCGTCCTCCTCCTCTTCCTCCTCCTCGTCCTCCTCCTCCTCCTCGTTCTCTGCCATCTGGGTGTGGACGTGCAGGGAGTCCTCTGTGCTGCTGCCGCTGGTCAGCTGGTAGTGACTGGGTTTGGCTTCGATGTCCACCTGGATCTCCATGTTATTGCACTCCCTGCAGGAACAAACACCACCCTCACGTTACTGGGTTCTACTGGGAGGATCACATCCCCCAAACATGAGCAAGGTGCTGCTCATCACCCCACAACTCACTGCTCTCCTTGAATCCTCTCAACAAAGCCAAGATCATCCCAAAGCTCCAGAATCCTCTCAAAGTGCCAGAACAGCCCCTGAGCGTGCTGGGCTCTGCAGATCCCCTCCCCACACATGGAAGCTGCTCCCAAACCGTCCCCAGCCCTCCTCCTGTGCTAGAAAGATGGAGGATCACACCCTCCAAATGTGAGTTAAGATGCTGCTCATCACTCCACTGCTCTCCTTGAATTCTCCCAACAGAGCCAAGATCATCCCAAAGCTGAGCCTGGAGCTGGGCTGGGAAAGCTCCAGAATCCCCTCAAAGTGCCAGAACAGCCCCTGAGCGTGCTGGGCTCTGCAGATCCTCTCCCCACACATGGAGGCTGCTCCCAGACTGTCCCCAGCCCTCCTCCTGTGCTAGAAGGATGGAGGATCACACACCCCCTAAACATGAGCAAGGTGCTGCTCATCACCCCACAACTCACTGCTTTCCCTGAATCCTCCCAACGGAGCCAAGATCATCCCAAAGCTGAGCCAAGGAAAGCTCCAGAATCCCCTCAAACGGCCAGAACAGCCCCTGAGGGTGCTGGGCTCTGCAGATCTCCTCCCCATACATGGAGGTTGCTCCCAAACTGTCCCCAGCCTTCCTCCTGTGCTAGAAGGATGGAGGATCACGCCCCAAACATGAGCAAGATGCTGCTCATCACTCCACTGCTCTCCTTGAATCCTCCCAACAGAGCCAAGATCATCCCAAAGCTGAGCCAAGGAAAGCTCCAGAATCCCCTTAAACAGCCAGAACAGCCCCTGAGGGTGCTGGGCTCTGCAGATCCCCTCCCTACACATGGAAGCTGTTCCTACACTGTCCCCAGCCCTCCTCCTGTGCTAGGAGAAGGATGGATCCCTGTGCAAACACGGCCATCCCACCACCCACAGAGCCTGCATTTCTCCAGGACAGCCTCCACCAACGCTCTCCTCAGCACTCCAGGTCCTCCTACCTGTCCTGGGGGTTGTAGGAGCTGATGATGGAACCAGCCATGGCTCGGGTGCTGGCGTTGTCGCTGATGGCCCCCAGACTGACCGAGTCTTTGGGGAAAATCTCCTTCTGCACATCTGCCTGCACTTCCAGCCTGCGGGGAAGAAGAGGGTTCCTCAGAAAAGCTTTAGGAGCACCAACACATCCCTGCTCCTGATGGGAAAGCAAGAAAAAAAAAGGAAGAAACCCATCCCTGCTCCTCAAGGGAAAGCAAGAAACCCATCCCTGCTCCTCAAGGGGAACCAACAATCCCCGTGAGCTGGCCCAGGAGTTTAACCCCAGTGGCTGCTCTCATTCAGTCTCATTTTTGGCTGCATTCAGGCAGATCCATTCTGTTTTCCATGACGGAGGTGAAGCCGTGTTTGCATCCATGACTCACACGGTTCCTGCGAAGAGCTGATTTCCATGGATCTCACACGGCGATTGCATCCTGGCTGCCACATCAACACGTGGCTCTAATTACCCAGCAAACTGACTCACAGGCAAGTTAGGAGGAAAAACTGTGGTGTAACCTCCTGATTTTTGGAGAGCCATGGCCCTGCCTGCAGAACAGGAAGCACCAAAGCCTCCAGGCTGGGCTAACAGGGCTGGGATGGCTTTAAGCAGGGCAGGCAGGAGCTCTGTGCCGTTCCCAATTCAGCTGAAGCATCAGCTCTGTGGTGTCAAGGAGCTCAGGAGGGATCTGTCCTCCTTGCAAGAACTAGACTGACTCCAGAAGCAGAATCATGGAACGGTTTGGGTTTGGAAAGGACCTTAACGATCATCCAGTTCCAACCATCACATGCAGGGACACCTTCTCCTCGACCTGAGAGCCCCATCCAATCTGGACCTGGAATATCTCCAAGGATGGGGACCCCACAACCTCTGTGGGCAATCTGTGCCAGTGTCTCCCCACTCTGGGTGCTCTGGGTTCCAGACCATCCTAGGTGATCTAGACCTGGTTATTCTACAGGAGACCAACACCACGACACAACTCCTAAATCAAAGCAGCTTCACTCACACTCCTGGAAAGCTCCCCAAAACAAACCCACTATCCACTATCAAACCCACTATCCACTATCAAACACACTATCCACTATCAAACACATTTTCCACCATCCCAGGGTGCTCCAAGCCCCATCCAACCTGTCCTTGGACACTTCCAGGGATCCAGGGGCAGCCACAGCTTCTCTGGGCACCCTGTGCCAGGGCCTTGCCACCCTCACAGGGGAGAATTTCTTCCTCACATATGATCTAAATTTTTTCTCTTTCAGTTTAAAGCCATTCCCCCTTGTCCTACAACTATCTTCCTTTGCAATCAGTTGTTCTCCAACTTCTTACTAAGACTCTTTAAGCACTGGAAGGCCACTGAAAGCAGCCTTATGGACATGGTTGCTTTCAAACCTCCAGAAACTCTGCTGGGGAGGATTACTCCAGAAAGAAATGTGTCTAACCCTCACATGGAATGGAAATAAATAAAAAAAAAAAAAAGAGAGGAAAAAAAAAGACAACTTTTCATATGCAATGAACAATTTATCCATGATTTTTAAGCTACCTGCTTCCATAGCATCACTTCAGTGAGCCTACAGAGCTGAGGGAGCCTTGGGGTCGCCTCAGCTTTTCCCAGAGCCCCCTTACCTGCTGTATTTCCCCTTGCTCCCTGAGAGGACCCCCCCGCTCAGGGTGCCCCCGGACAGGGCAGCAAAGCTGGCAGTCTCACTGTAGTTGCCCTGGATGACACTGAGCCCGTCTGTGGGGCTGCCACTGGTGCTCAGCACGCTGGTCAGCCCCTCAATGCTGCTCTCTCCAATGCTGGGGTTCTTCAGGGCCCTCCAGGCATCGGCCACTGCGGGGAAGGAGAGCACAGGGGTTGGAATCGGCAGAGGGAACGCTCGGTTTGGATGTCTCAGGTTTGGGAGACATCACGAGCTCAAAGCACTTCATTGCAAGAGCCAACAACTGGAGCATTTTGTTCCACCCCCTTCCCATCACCAGTTATTACCTGTGATGGGTCCATCATCTTCATCAAACTCGATTTTCACCCCCTTTCCATTGGCTGTGCTGACCCCGCAGCCACCGCCCCGGCACAGCGAGATGGGCACGACCCCATAGACGTAGGCCAGCATGATGGGGACCCCAATTCCTGCAGAGGAGGATGAGCTGGGTTAGGAGGAGCTTAAAGATGAGTTAAGATTTTTTTAGGGACTCTCTCAGCCGTGTTT